GCTCTGCCGGCGCCTGGCAGAGCGCGGTCTGGCGGGAGCGTGCCTGCGCCTTGCTGGAGTCGGCGTCAGCGTCACCGGGAGCTTGACTGGCGTGATTTGAAGACACCTCAAAATGCCTCTGTAGGGGTAAAGTAGCTCTTGATAAAGCTGGAGCCAGAGGTCAGGGATGAGAAATCGCAGCATGAATCTCTTCAATCAGGGAGGAGAATTTAGCAAAGCCAAAGTTATTTCAGCTGAAAGACTCCCTTGCTGCAACACCTTTCTGTTACCACACCACACATCTTCATCAGGCAGCTTCGTCGGCTTCATTCAGCCCTCCTATTCAAACCATGTTACCGTGTTTCCTAACCTCCAGGTAATCCAAATGTACATGAAACACAGCTTTGTCCTATGACGGTCCACAGGAGCAAGCTCATCCCCTTGACATCACTTAAAAGAGACTCCTAAGATGATCAAGACTGTTAATTAGAAGCATTTGCTGCTCTTTCCAGATCTACAGTTGTGTGTCTGAGGAACTTCTGCTAGAAGTATCATGCTATAACAGATTCAGTGGGGCCAGAACACGCGGACCTTGTTTGGCACTCAGAGAGCTCCAGTTCTAGCACTTTGTCTATTTGCTTTCCCTTGCCGTTCTGCTCCCACTCTTATTTAGTTTATACTGTAAGATTTGCAGGTAGAAACTCTCTCCTGCTATGTGTTTGCATAATTAGGCCAGTCAGTAAGCATTGCTTTAATATGAATCACAATAATAAACAGCTTTTCAATCCTCGAGCATATAGCAAACGCTGAAAACTCTACAGCCAGTAGTTCAAGCCCTTCAATGAACTGTAATGCTAGTTTATATTAAAAGCAAGATAAATGATCATTTTCTACCTGTTCATTTGGTTTCACAGCATAGAGAACAGATACACACCTTCCTAGATGCATGTGGATACATCATCGCTATAAACACCCTTGCTGACTCCTATGGGATTATATTGATGAAAAAAAAAAGATTTACCATGTTCACCTGTTTGAGAGCTTCCAAGAAGTTTAATATCTGACTATATTTATACTATATTGTATGCATGCTTCTGTTAAGAAAAATCCTTGACACAGCCTGTACTCCACAGCTAATTGGTATGGCTTTGCAGGTAACACACAAAAATCCTGCAGTGACAAAGAACAGTTTGCAATGCCATTTGTGCTGGCCAAAGCAGTGAGAATCCCAACAGCAGAGCAATCCAGGGCAGGCATTTCGATAACAAGAAAGGAACAAATGCATAACGTGACCTCTCTCCCCAAAGATGCCTCAGCACAGAGGGGTCCCTGAGGAAATATTTCTGCCTAACTACATGGCTTCCTAAGGTGGAAGATGGGAAATACTGGCTCTTTCAGATCAGATGGCTCTTGTGCAGTAAACTTTGGTGTAAAGCAGAGTCTTTTTTACCTTGGTTGCTCTGAACTTTATCGCTCAAGATTTAAAAGCAGACACTCAACAGGACCTTCAGGTATTATATATTTTATTATTAATAGGATTTTCCTACATTTTCATAAAGAGCTATTAGATGTCCTATTGTAAGTTCCTGATGTGTGAAGATCTGTAGCATTAGATGCAAGATGTCACAAGTGCCAGAGGAAAGAGAAAATACAGTTCGGCTTATGTAAAATAAAGTTTTTACATATCTGCTTCCTTTCTATCAGCTTCAGATTAACAGGGTGAGGGACTTCTGTACTTGCAGGGTATGATTTGGCAGGTGGTGGTAGGCAGCACAGCATGGCGATTACCCAGCTGTGGGGGGGGTTGATATCAAGTCTATGAACTCCTAGCAGCCTGGTCTGGGATACCAACCAAATGAGTTACTTGCCTTTTAATACATCTTGCAACAAAGCTAGTAAGCATCATCTTTAGCCTTGATTAAGGTAAGAGTTAATCTGCTGGTGAACTCGTAAAGTAACTTTCCAGGACTGGCAAATTCTGCACCACAAAGCAGCGTAGGACTTGAATTCAGCTCTTTCCATAGCTAGGACTGTGTATTAAGTATGGGCCAATTTTCCACTGCATTCAGGATTATTTCAGGTCCAGAACACAAGAGGATTCAGTTGAGGTACTGTGCTTTAGTTCACACATGAACAATAATTTCAGAAGATGCAGAAGAAACTTTGCTTCTGGACTAATTAAAGGTCAACTGAAACATTAGACACTGTCTAAACCAGAATTCTCACTAGACAATCACTAGTTAATACAACACAACTCCTTCTGTGTTGCTATGTAATAAATATACACTCCATGGATGTCTGTGCACAGTGTGCTTGGAGAGGGGGAAGGAGGGAATAGCACAGGCAGCACCACTTTTTCATGGGTTATCCTACAAACAAACAAATTAAAGAGTCAACAGTAGTATTTTATAAAATTATGTGGAAAGAAGGGATATCCTTAACTGGAAGGAAATAAATTACCAGCCTTATATGGCCAGCCATTCTTTAAGTAGAGATTAAAATTTTATAAAAAGAAGTTTGGACATCTCTCAGTGGAGAACTTCTAGCTTGTATCGTAGAGATGCATTGGAGAAAGCTGAAGGGAAA